TGACGAAGCCCTGCATACCCATGGGCTTCTGTTTTAACTTCTGCCTCTTTCAGTTCATTCTACACTCTTTCTAGGGTCCCTAAACTCACCATTTCCTGCACACAACTGGGCCTTCTCATAAAGCAGTATTTTTATAAATATGATCCTTTCTGCTTATAAAACACCTTCATGACTGTTTCTCTATAATCCTTTTTACATATTGAACCAACTCCTACTCACCCTTCAAAACTCAACTCAACATATGTCTTCTTCAGTGACGTCTTCCTGACTCTGCCAGGCAATTAGCTTCTAGGTTCACGGTGGGTGTGTAGAACCACTGCCCCCGCCCATACCTATGCTTGAGCACCCATGATATTGTGTACCAGACACTGGACTATATAGTAAGTTACCTCTGTATTCCCACTTCATAACACAGAGCCAGGAAAATAGTTAGAAAATGCATGTGGAATGAATAAGTCAAAGAAAGCACTACAAACAACATCTTACCCAGCATCATTAGGAAAATCTCTATTCTTCTGCTTTCCTTTTATTCCTTTGTGATTTAAAAATGCAACTCAGGGTATGGCATACTTACACTATGAAAATTAAAAACCATAAAAATTATAGAGCCAACATCTTCACCCTCTAATGAGAGTAAATACGCCCACAAGTCCTTTGTAATTTTCAAGCACCACCATTTCAGATAATTCTTTCTCCTGTATTTACTTGTAAGTAAAGCGACCATCTTTTTGCCCCTTACTTACTGCAAACGTATGCAATATCTCCACAAAACATACACTGTTGTGTGAGTTAATAAGTCGCTGTGGATTCACTTGCAAATCTCCATTTATTACACCATTTCCATTGGAAAATATATTTCAAATCCAAATGATAAAAGTCAGAAATAAACAATGCCACACAACCTATTTTTTTCTTTGGGAAATGGCAGGTAACGCCTGTGGGTTCCATTTTTGCCATTTTTAAGTATTGAATGAAATATCAGCTCCAGAAACAGTCATCTACAAACTGAGACTGGCTAGAAGTCTCAATGTTAACCTGGGCTGGTGGCTGAAGGGTATTTATCTAAGGGCATGAGGCTTCTGGAAACAAACCTCTACTTAAAGAGCTGATCGTGACACTCATAAATCCACAGGAACGGACTCAACCTTTTTTTTTAAGTCTCAGATGGCCATGAATCTGAGGCAAAGACTGAACCACTGAAGCACTAGATTCTCAATAAATGCTAAATTTAAGAGAATGAAAAGTTAGTATCAAAATACATCCCGCAGATTTCAAATAAACTAGGTTCAATGTGAAAGGCTCTATTTAAAGTCAGTCCTGGAGAAAACAGAGCCAAGTTCATGCTATTACTTACCTATTACTATTTTTTTAAATTATCCTGCAATCAAGCCCCAGATATGAATTTGATCCCCATTCACCACATTTTAAAATCTCTCATCACCAGAAGAAATATGTGTGCTTGTTGAATTGATGATTACAACATAAAGTAATACACGATGATTTTGGTATAGGACACCTCAGCCAGCCAATGAATGAGTCATTTATACACAAGCCTAGTTTTCTGAATGGCTAAGAGCTTTACAGAATGAAACAGCTCGGGAGGTCAATTATCTCGAGTGTCAATATTTCCAAAGTTTATGACCTTCTATTTTCTTCCCTTCTCAAAGAGCGCATTTAAAAATGTATCCCTTTGGTAGTTCACTCTCATTAATGGTAAACAGCAATTACTGATTTATGTTATTATAGAGTAATGCCCGCAGGGTCCTACTCTAACATTCCCAAAACTTTCGGGGCTTTTGCCCTGAAAATTTTTGTCTCTTCCCTGGTTGTCAAGTTGTCAGGGATCACTTTTCACTCCTGGTTACAGCAGCTGCTCACCTCGTTCTCAATGTGCTAACCATAATATGCAATGGATTATTATTCAAAAAATTTTAATGTTAGGATTGTTGTCTAAAATAAGAGTAATTATGTTCCCAGACAGGGTCTGAACTATTCTCCCGGACATGATGCCATCTATTCTGGTTGCTGAGTGGGCATTTTTGCCCCTTTCCTCGTTCTTGGCGAGGTTCCAGTGTCGGTAAGAGAGCAGCACTCCATACTCAGGTATGTATAACACATCTTGATGCTCTTTGTGGTCCCCACGCTACAGAAGTAGAGCAAACCATCACACGACCTCACTAATGATTTATGTGCTGGCCACACAACATACCAAGTACAAAGGTTTCCAAGGAAGCAAACTGCCCAGGTTGAAAGGTCAATCCGGAAACTGGAAAATGGTCCCTATCTTACATAACAGGTCTAGAGGCTGTAGGTCTATAGCACTTAGCAGCATGAACAGGTAGGTGTCTTACACAAATAAGTATGGGGGAAATTTTTTGAGGGGAAAAAAACCACTAAATGACATACTGATTCACAGAAGGTCAACATTTTCTTGGCTTATTAAATTACAAGATTGTTAAAGTAAGCAACTTCTTTTTAATACCATATGTTTTAAATACCTCCCTTTCTAAACCGCTGCTCTATTGGGAAAAGTCTTCTTTACTCAGAAGGAAAAAATGTTGCTCTAACATTTGAGTAACCGAAAGATTAATTATCATTTTTAAACAGTCCCTACAAGCACTGGAGTCAAGCATTCAACAGAAATGACTGTACATCAATCCTGTGCATTCCACCAGACGCCAAAGTTTATATAACCTTGTTTGTCAACCCGAGAAAGCAAACTCAAGCAGGTGAACCAGGCTACCCTGTCACATTAAGGACAGGAATAAAGACAGTGGACATCACTTAACCTAGTTATGCTCCCACACCCTTATGAAGGAGGCTGGCCTTTTAGCTATTTATAAATGTGGGGCTGAGCAAAGGGACCCTGCCACCACCACCCTGTGCCTAACATGGCGGGCTGTTGGGCTCCAGCGAATCCCAGAAGGCCTGTGGGATCCCCCTCAGTTTGCCCCCCATCCTTGGCAACAGGAGATCCTCGGGGTGCAGTCCTGTCTGCTCAGGAAAGGGACTGTGAGGATTTCCAGTGGTCACTTCCAGCCTGTGATTCTATATATGGAAACATCCCATTCTGGTGTTTGCAGCATCATGAGCACCACACCAGGGAGGAGAAGTAAGGTGGAGGCCAGCTCCCCTCTTGCTGCCCCGACACACTCATTTTCGTGTCTCCCAGGCCCTGCTGTCCTGGACTGGACCTTGTCATCAAATGGCAGCCCAGACCTCTGCTGAGGCGGGCAGGCTAGCGGCCCTAACATGGAACAGCTGGAAGAGGACCCTGCATTCTTTTCTCTGCATAAACACTGGGGGCTCTGTTCACCCTCCTGCTGCAGCATGAACTAAAGAATTTCCCCTATCCAAAATTATAAGCAACAGACCTTTTCCCCATCCCCCATCCTCACCACCACCACCTCCCCCCCCACACACACACACCCCAGGATATCATTTCATTCTGTCACCACCCATGCTAGCAAACAGCAAATCGCTGGACCCTTCGTGTACATTCACTTTCTATACTAGTTGAGGTGCCTGTAAAATACTAGCAGGGTAATACGAAGCAATTCTGTTCTATTCAGTAAAGTTTCCTAAGAAAAAACAGCAAGAACTCTGATTCATGCCTGCTGTCAGGCATCTACAAGATGCATATCCATATGGATATCGTCAGCACAGAAGAGCAGACCCAAATAGCATATGAACTGCAAGTATTATTTTAATAGTCTGTAGCATCACCTACATATTATTCAGAAGACGGAGCTCTAAAACTGTACTCCCGTGGGGGAAAATTAATAACAGCATTAGATTTTCATGGATTGCTCATGCAGCCTAATCAAAGCTTGGCTTCCGAAGGGCAGGGGTCCCGGGCTGTCTCGTGTGTTGCTGAAACCCAGAGAGCCACGTTGCTCAAACCAAAAAGAAAAAAAGCCCAGAAAATCCAGACTCTACGTGACCTGACTTACTTATTTCCCAGGAAACTGCATGAGGGAAAAATCAATCATTCACCGCTACCGTGGCTACCACACGGAATGGACTGAAGGAGTTGACCGTG